CCGCACACACGGCTGCCTCCCCGGATGACCCGGCTCGGCCGCCCCGCCCCTCCGGCCACGTCGCCGCTCCCCCGGGGCCTCAGCCTCCCCCGAGGAACCCAGCGCGGGGCAGGGTCGACGCTCCCCGCACCTCCCCAGACCCGACCCGACCGGGAGACTCGAACCAGCCGCCGCACTCAGGTACTTCCGGTCCGTCCTTCACCACTCCGCGTCGGCGCACGCTCCGCAGGACCGAAACAGCGACGGCTTCCGCCGAGGAGCCGCGGGTCCCGCCCTCCCCTGACGTTTCCCCAGTCCCGGGTGCTGCCGTCTGCGCCTGCGCGGCCCGGCCCTCCGCGGCGGGCGGAAGCGATTGTCCCGGCGACGGAAGTGGCGTTTTCGGCGCGACGGAAGCGGCAGAGCCTGGCCTCTCCGGCCGCCGCTCCCGGGCCGGCCGCCGTCTCCCCGCCGTTCCGCGTCGAGGGCGGAGACCACTGCACTCTTTACTGGGTGGACTGTTCCAGTTCTAAAGCAAAATCGCTCCCACCCTGTGCCTGCGGGAAGGGAAATCCGAGACTGGTTCTCCTCCGTGGAGCTGGGTCCACCGAGCCGCAGGGCTGCGCCGGGGTCGCGGCTCCGGGCACGTCACCGCTCCACCGGGAAAGCCCGCGGCCCGCACAGGACCGGCGCGGACCTCAGCGCGCCTGGGCGCACAGGGCCGGGGGCGCCCTGCTCAGAGGCTCGCCTGCAGGACGGCTTCCCGCAGCCGCAGCAGGCAGCGGCCGTCCCGGTCACCCCAGGCCCCGGCCTGGCTAAACACCGGCGGAGGACAGGCTGGTGGGCGGGCAGACCCTTGCAGGCTCCAGGCCGAGCGCCACAGCTGAGGTCGCGCGATGACGCTGTCCCCTGCCTCCGGAGTGGCTGCTGGGGACAGGCTGCGGTCTGTCCGCGAGCCCGCCCCTCGCTCTGGCTGCACAACCTCTCCAAGCCATCAGTCCCCGGACCCCAGGTGCCGACACTGTTGCTTACACGTACTTTTCGCTGTACTGGGCATCTTTCTGCAGACCCACACGCACCAGGAAGGCCACGTCCGGTTGCCCGGACATACAGAGGTGCTGGTCTGGGGAGAGCAGACACTGGGCCTGTGACAGGCCCCCCACAGCCCTCCATCCTCAGAGCCCATGCAGGACCCAGAAACAGCCCAAAGCCACTCACCTGCTCACCACTCCGAGGCAGAACACCCCCACGTGCCTTGTTCTGCCTGACACACACATGCCTGGGGTTACAAACCAATGTCCCTTGGG